GGCTCGACCTCGCGACAGACGCTGACACTCTCGACTTCCCATCCGCATCCTTCAAAGTAGTCTGCCAACGCGCGGTCTCCTCTCAAATGCCGCGGGACGTCGGTGACCAATACTGTGCGCGCCGAGACCGAGTGGATGAGATGCAGCGCAAATGCCTGGCGAGACTGAACGAACTTATGAAAGTTGCGATGGAAGAAGTAGAGGCACAGGAAAGTGAACAGGTAGGTGAATATCAGATGGACCGACTGAGAGGTTTGCGGGTCGACCAGGACGTCGTACATTGAGGGTGAAGGGGGTAGAGTGGTATTTGCAGGGGCGGTCGCGAATATCGGGAAGGTCGAGTTGGAATCGGTGTCGTTTCCCGGTATTTGAGGGTCGGAGTCGGTTGAGCCGTTTCGCTGTCATCAGCTCCTTCGGTCGTAGAGCTTACAAAGAGGTTTAGAGGCATCAGTACTACAGCAGCCAGGACGGCGGCAGTACCAAACAGCGCAAAGGACATTTTGAAGAAATTGAGCAGCTAATTATGGTGAGTCTCCTTCGCTTGCTGTACGACATACCACTGCGGCATCCAGCCCAACGGTGTGTAGGACGGTAAACTCGCTCGTCCGGAGGGTCGGCCTTATCCAGCCAAAGAATCTCGCCGTCGGGGTATCACCGTCCGAGGTATGTGCGGGAGTCGGGGAGAAATCTACGATGCGTGAGTGCAAAGAAGCTGCGGAAGCGAAGGGAGAAACCTTTGAGCTTTGTGCGGCCCATATAGACCACATCCCATCTTGTCCGGAGGAAACAGAAGGTGAGGAAAGAGGTGACGCCGATTACGAGGGAGATGGTGAGCTGCGTCGAGAACCATGGGCCTGTCAATTGTCAAGGGAGTCGGAAGGGTAAGGAGTCAGGGAGATGACTATGATCAGCTGAAGGCCGAGTGTCTTCAGTCTACTGTACATACCGACAAATTTCTCTACACCAGAGTCAGTTTTTATTCCCCGAGAGAAGGACCAGACTCACGAGCAGGTGGACTTCCAGGAGGAGCCGACGGATTTCCGTCATCGCCTTCCAGCATCGCCTGGAACAGGCTCATGACCAGCTCGGACATGTTGCTGGTGTTGCCGGGCGAGTGGCTGTGACAGATGCGACAAGTCTAGAGGCGATAAATCAGAGGCGAGTGAAAGGAAGAAATAGAGGCCCCGCATCAAATGACGTTGGACTTGACACTCCCAGGCTCGGACTGGGGGTCTCAGGCGGGCTACTCGGTATGCTTTGATGCTTTCTACCTTCCCACTTGCAACCTGCACTTTGCAATTCTACGAATATCGAGTTTCCGTTATTCATACGCTCATTCTCGGGCATGGTATTGCTCGTGGTGATATTTCGTACGCTCCAGCGTCTGCAAGGACCGCTTATCCCCACAGCGTTTCACAAACAATCTGCCCGAGCGCCATATTTGATTTGTCAAAGTTATCCTCTGTTGCCATCGCTACCTTTGATCCGATGCGCCTACACGGTCCGAGCTGTGACCTTGCCCTTGCCTTACCTGGCTGCCGGTTGCCTTGTTGGAGTGTGGCTTTGTTGCCTTTGTTTTTCACCGATGGCCCAGTAAGGGGGGTTCCTGTATCATTGCTTCTTGTGCTTTGGCCCGTTTCATCACAGTTCATCGCTAACAATGTGACACCGAGTCAATCGCTAACAGTTTTACTTTCTAAGTTTTCTCTACCATACATACTCATCTGTAATCCAACTCACCTGATCTTCTCACTACACCCCTGATCCTCGCACTGACACTCATTCCTCCTTTGTACAAATCCCCTATAATGTCCCGATACCGCTCTTCTCCTCTCGCCAAAGCGACTCCCTCGACGCCACCACCTTCTTCGGCGACAGCGAATATAGGAGCCTTGCTTTCGTCGCCTTTCGACTCAGACTTTGACTCTGAGGACGAGATTTCGACTCCTGTACGAGCGTATACTCCGGTCACTAGAGGAGCTGTGCGATACTCTACTCCACGTCGAGATCAATCTTCTACGCGAATCAAGAGCCTCGAAGGTATCTTTGATGATCACGATGAATATTCGGAAATCATCGAATTCACTACTCCTACTTCGACACCACCTACTTATCCATCCCCCACACGCCCAGGTCTACGAGAGACTCCAACGTATGCTTCTCCGCCTTCAGGTCCACGAGAGACACCGACGTATCCCTCTCCACGCTCAGGTCTACGAGAGACACCTACCTATCCATCTTCAGGTCTACGAGAGACACCTACCTATCCATCTCCACGTTTAGGCCTACGAGAACCACAGACGCATTCATCTCCACGTTCAGATTTACGAGAACCACACTCGTACCCATCTCCACGCTCAGATCCACAAGGGAACCCAACGTATCAAACACCTAGACGTCAAGAACCATCAACCCGACCGCAAATCGTCACCCACGTATCGTCGACTCCATTCCATCTCCCAGCACCATCATCGCCCATCTCTCCGTTTCTTGCCGCCCCACCTCAAGCTCGTATCCACCCTTTTTCTCCTCCTGATTCGCCATTCTCCAGAACGAGCGTATCAAGTATATCAGAGTCTATAAGGGGTTATGACGCTTTGGTGGAGAAACGGGCCCTGTTCAGAGGCGGTGAAGAGGAGATCTCTCCTAGACCCAGAAGAACAGGTGTGAAAAGTGCGATAGGAATGGATTTTTGGTCTAGGATGAGTATGGTCGTCAAGCTTGATGAGAAGACTGAAACAGAAAGGTACGTTGATGTGAAAGTAGAGGGGGCTGATGAGTAGTGAGTGGCTTGTACAGGATCAGAGGAGGAAACGGATCCTCAAACGAGGTATTCTCGTAGCTATCATCTTGGTGAGTACCGAACGTACCGGCTCATCGATAAGACGGCGTTGGACCCTTGGTGGACGGTTTGAGCTGATGCACCCATCCAGGCGTCAGTCGTAGTAGTCATCATTGTCATTGCCATCGTCGTCCGCAGCCGTACTTGGAACTAAGCTCGACCAATAACACCTCATCGCTAGTACGAAAAGTATTCTACGGACAATGCATCACGGACAATTCCACCTGGGCTTTAGGTTGTGCCATACTTTTTAGTTATCCATATTGTATGCATACAAGCTACCTTCGACAGCCTGACAGTGCTGAGACGGTATACATGACATGAAGGTACATCTACATGATGGGGTATATACTGAAGTTGGTCGTTACGCGTTGGGCAAATTATGTGCACGGTTAAAATAAGTCTTCAAGTGTCATTTGTCTATCTTCATCAGCGATGCTCTTCCTTGTCAGGCTGCGCACTCACTTGACGATATCCGTACTAGCGACCATACCTGTGAACTCTTCGAAACTCAACTTGCCATCTCTGTTGTCTTTCAGCGACTCGTACATCACAGATACATACCCGTCCTTGTCAGCCTCCATGATGGTCTTGTCCACAATCTGCTGTAATTGTTGATCCTACACCACTGTCAGCGGCTTGTGTGAGAGAGACCACAGGACTCACCTTGAGGTTATTGCCCACCATCTGCTTGAGAACGAGATACAGCTCGCCATTGGAGATGTATCCATCACGATCAATGTCGTACACCTTGAACGCGACTGGACGAGTGAGACGAATCAACGGAGGATGAAGAGAGACTTGCAATGCAGCTTCTCGTCACGGCCACCTTTGCTTGAGAACGCGCTCAATCCACCGACAAACTCTTGAAAGTCGACCGTTCCACTTCCACTATGGAGCGTCAGCAAAGGTTCGTCGTTCTCCTACAAGCAGTCCCGAGTCCTCTCTTCGATTCTGCGTTTTTTGCAGGCCGCCAAGTTCCAACCTCCTATCGCGTTGATCCCGCCTGCTTGAACTTGGACGACATCTCACGACCCAACGCAGACCTCACAATTCACGCTCAACCTTCTGATTCAGACTCATTCCGCCATCTCCGCTTCCAATTCGTATCACCCTCTCCCCTCTACACTCAACCAGATCCACTCACTCTTCATCAAAAATAGCAATCATCCGATGCGCCAGCGGGTTATTCGCAATCTGCGGAATCTGCAGAAACTCATCCTTGTCAATCGAGCCTGACCCATCCTTGTCGAGCTTCATGAACCGTTTCTTGAGTCGGAGAAGTTCAGGTGCAGAGACTGATGAGGTCAGTATTTGGGATTCAATCCATATCAATCGAAATAGGTAGGGTCAATCGAAATAGGTAGGGTCAATGTGATAGGAGGAAGGTAGAGACGTGTTTCGGTAAGACAATGATGTGGAAGAGGCAGAAGAGAGAACCAGAACGAGAACAGGATCAAGAATAGAGCAGCACAGTCTGCAAGAGCCATATCACACTTCTCTCCATGCTCGATCAATTTCTCAAGGCATGGATATAGATGACAGAGGAAGGCGAAGGACAGCTCGCGAACCAAAAGGAGATGGAAGAGCCAAGGGAAGCACACTGTACTGAAAACGGTACACTCACAGTTCGAGTTCTTCTCCAGCGAGCTGAAGACGGATGATTCGGCCTGTCCCATATTGCCAGGCCGTTTGTGGAGATAAGAAACGGAAAGGAAGGAAAGCGTATGGCTAGAGACAAAGTGGACAGCATCATAACCTTTAGTCAAGTCAGCGGGCGATTAGGCGCGCGTCTAAAACGTGAAGGGTCCAGTGTGGTGGGAAGTCACCTCCTTATTCTTATGTCTTCCCCTCGCAAGACGCAGAGCTGCCCATCTGAGATGACCAACTAGCAGTGCATACACTTTCAGTCATCAACATGATATCCCTTTTACTACAAATCTCGCCTCAATGAAAGGAACCGACCGTAAAATCAGATGCAGAAGGACAAACAGAAACCGTCTCCCCTTCATCGAATCAAATCTGCCATAGACTTTTTTTTTTTGACACATATACACGAACTGGGCTTTTCTTATTCGAAATCCGCTCCAGTGGGGTTACAATTTGGCTTGTCACGCAATGTCAACGCAAAAAAAGAAGTCGCACGGGACCAAAAACCTTCCCTCTCTGGGGGTCGAACCCAGGACCTTTCGCGTCAAATTACGTAATTGTGAAGCGAACACTCTAGCCAACTGAGCCAAGAGAGATTTACACCTATTTCAGGCTCATATTCTTTGGAGAAACACTTCGAATATATAGTGAAATGTCTTTGAATCTGTCATTGCTTTCTAATCGACGTCGGAAGGTCATAGAGCGTTGCACCGATAGCATGAGTATTGGCAAAGGATTCATAGGAACCCATCAAGGGCGAGAAAAATTGGCATTCCGCGAAAAGCAAAAAGCGACATCGGTCCCATTGTCTGGTTCGAACTTGTAGCTCGTGCGTTTCTCTTGGGTCTGTGGATCTAGCCCCTCACTGTTTTCCTCCGTCACTTATCTGGATATGCATGTACGGGTCGTCGTTTTGGAGATCCATCCACAGGCGTGCTAGAAAGGCTTTGTCGTGGGTAACTCTTTGATGAATTGAAAGCAAGTGACTTGACAATGCGATACATACCAGACGACGAGGCCCAATTGCCACACTGAAAGGTGGAGGCATCTCTGATGCACGACTGACCACAGCTGGAGATCTGAGAGTTTGCAGGCAGGTGCTCTGGTCATCTGGCTTGCGAGGTACCATAGCTGGTCATAGAGCAAACTTCAGGTGCAGGCTGGGCAGCCCAGCTTGAGGCGTGGCGCAATCTCGGATTTCAATCTCGGATTTCCGGGAATTCGTAACCGATTCAACGACTGATCTTCGCTCATTTTCCTTTCTTCATACGAGCCATCACTCAATATGGCTCAACCCTCTTCCCTACCTAGCTACATACCCATCCCTTCCTCAGCGATACCCATCCCCTCTCCGTCCGCACCTAGCACTGTAAAAACCCGGGCCCGACAACCATCTTTTCCACCATCATCAGCGCAGTCCTCAGCGCCGGCTCCGACATCACGTAAATTCACTGTTCCCACTACAGCGTCCATCTCGACTAATGTCTCTGACCTCTTACTGTCTTCTCTCCTCCCCCCGAACCTGCCCAAACTCCCCGCCAATGCCGCTCAGAAGGGCGGGACAGGCTCGGCTTTGGGCAGAGTGCGGGATTTGAGCACGCAGCGAGAGACGCTGAGCTTGCCTCTTGTCTCTAATAACTTCCGGCGTTTCATCACCAAGGTCTGTCGTATCCATGTTGTGGTTCACGAGCTGATACAGGGTAGGTTGGGCCGGTATTTTGGCTTCAGGACCGTGTGGAAGAGGTGCTCTTCTGGCGGAAACCGCGATGGACAATAGCCTGGATGCTCCTCTGGACATTCACATGTACGTCTTTACATTGCTTTGCCACTAATAACCAGGCTTCCAACCTCGGATTCTACTCTTACTTCCTTCCCTCATCCTTATTCTCCTTCTCCTACACGTGCACGAACGAAACCACTCGTTCCCTTCGCTACTCGGTGTATTCACTCCCACTCCGACCGCAGGTACCGTGCGGGTCAACCCGAGCCCCAACCCCAACTCTACAGCTACATTTAGCGCAAGCACTGTGCCGGACGGAACGGAAGGTGGAGCGCAGATACCTGTCGTGCCTCCCAAAGAGGCCGAGAGCGGTGTGGACTATTACATGAATCTCCAGGCCATTCAGAATCTCATGGGTTTAGTGTACGTGATCTCGCTCGTTCTCAGCTGACATCAAGGTCTGATATGTACGACTGGACAACGCCTCGGTTGACCGCTCTGGCGGCGCCGTCTACATCGACCTCACCGACAAGCTTCCCCCTCACAACGACTCATCTTATGCTGCTCCTTCTCCCACCTACGCTGCTCCTCCCGCTGACTCCACACGCACTCGTGCCGTACCTCCTCCTCCCTCTAGGTCTAGCTCCACCGCTCGCGTTCCACCCCAACCTCACACCGTCTCTCTTGACACTCCACCGCCATCCGCAATTCCTCAAACTTCGCAGCATCGCAGAGGACTGGGCATTAACAGACACGCTTCCAGACGAGGTCGGCCGGAAAGATATCAGTCGCGTCCAGGTATGGGAGAACGAACGTCTGGATCCAGCGACGGGGACAGTCAAAATCCCTCCGAGCTGGTCGAGCCGGAACCTGAGAGCAGGAGAGCGCGCACCGTGGGTCAAGGTGATTGATTCTGGGTCGTTGTGGAAGGAGGACGCCGAGGTAGCTGGTGACGCGGATAAGGGCGACAAGATGGTGTTGGCGCTCAAGGACGGCTGGGAGTGGGTGCCGGGCGCAGAGTGGCGTGTGGACGTGTGTGGACTGTGGAGTGAAGTCGGGACGGACGAGGGTGAGTATGTGAATATGATGTGGCTGATGGACAGATGGCTGGGTGTACACCGACGATTCATGGCAGTCTCCTAGCACCACCGCGGTCTCTGAAGGGGACGCAGTTGGCACTGGTCTGGGGATAGGGAAGGGAGATATCAGTGGGATGCCTGGAATAGCGATGAGACGGGTAACTAGGCGACGCAGGTGGTGGAGAAGGGTCTGCAAGGAAGCTGATAAGTGATTGCGTAGATTCATTCTGATGCATGTTGTTTCGTCCGATCGACGCATGTGGTGTACTTCTGATGAAGCATGTCGTGTCCAGGCCTCAAATCGTCGGGTCATGCATTTCGTATCTAGTCTAATCGACGGCATCCTCGATTGTTCGCTTCAGATCGTCGCCGCTCCACTTTGCAAGTACCCTCTCCCCATCATCTGTGATACCACTTCCTTTATTGCCGAAGAAGAGTTCTCGCATTCTCGTCTCTTCTTCGGTTCCACGCATGACGAGAGTGACGATATTCTGCCTATCGAGCGTCGCGCCTAGTCTTCCCAATCGTCCGGCCAAAACATCATAGAACCTCATTCTTTCTCTTCTCCCCATCGAAGTCTTTCGTTGTCCTGCTGACATGCCTGCGAAATCCAGTCCGTCAAGTAGGTAGACTGTATGTAACGTCGGGAGATGTAAACCTGGAACTGTGGATCGACGCGCTACCAGTACGCTAGAGGGAGGTAAGTCTGTTACTGTATCTGGGTGCAAGACTACGGCGTCGACTCCTACGCTCGCCAGATCCGCTACGAGTTTATCGAGTGATATTCCCTCTGGTGGAACAGCTAGGACGTGTTTCCCTTCTGGTGGTGGGCTGGTAGCGTAGAGTAAAGCGAGAGATTCAAGTAATAGTGGGTCTATTTGTCCCTTTCGTTGTTCACTCCTTGTCACTGCGTGTGGCGGTGCTTCCGGATCGAGAGTTTGCATGGTTCCTGTTGCCGGATCTACCGTAATGACGAAATGTTCAGGTGGGACAGTCGAATGTACTTCAGCCGAAACGAATCTTGCCGCAACTTGTTTTTGCTCTGGCGTAGCATGTGGTGAGAAATCAAACGACATTACTGTCCTGGTCGAGGATTCCAAATCTTCACGTCTTATCCATCCTCTATTCTTGATGAGTCTCCTTAAAGCCGAAGTGATAGTTGCCGAAGTCCAAACTGTCTGAATTTCTTTTCTATCTTGAAATTCAATCTCGACATGGCCTGTTGAATCTGCTTGAGAAGCTTTCAAACCTAGTAGGCCATTTATTACAGGTATAAAATGGGGTGGTCTTCGATTTAATGGGTGTTTCGCAAGATCTCTCTCTGGGGTATGTTTAGCAGGTAATGGTCCAATCATCGAGTCGGGTTCGTCGAGAAATATCGTCGTCACGTCTTTATAGATAGATGCAAAATCCGCAACTTCGATCATATCTCTCGGTGTGGCGAGAACGAGTGGTGTACGTGGTGCTTCTCGAGTAGGGTTGAGGATAGCCCATGATGCTCCGTTTGAGGTTGAAGTAGGATCCAGAAGGGAAAGGTGCTCGGCGATTTGTTGTGCCAGGTGAGCGGTAGGGACGAGGATGAGGACACGTGTGGCGCCAGGTTCAGCTAGAGCTGCAGCTAGCGTCAAAGCTGCTATAGATAGTGCTAGCGTCCTACACCCACATCAGCACATGGAGCGTAGAGACACATGAGGAACGAATCAATCCAAGGCAAGGTGCGTGTGGAAAGTGAGGGATCGACTCACTTTCCACGTCCAGTAGAATCACGCATGAATACGTCCAAGCCACGTAACACGCTCAACAGAAATGCGCGCTGAGCAGGTGTCGGCCCATGGATAGCTGGATACTGCGCTCGGAGCTTCTCAAGCAGTATAGGAGGGATTCCCAGTTCCTAATCCGTCAACAACAACTCTACCCAGCACTGATCGACATACCAGCCAATCATGATCAGATGCAGTATTAATTCGAGCTGGCGTTACTTGCTCTGCGACAGCTTCGGAGCGCACGGTATCTTCAGTCTTGATGGGTGTGGGATGTTCTGTGAAGGTTGATGGAGGTGGTTGTTGATCGTCGACAATAGAATGTTCAGGCGATGCCGGTGTGCGCCGTACAAGTGCTGGCTTGGTTCGTATACTTCGTATACGCGTGAGAGGGGTGGAAGAGACCAGTGCAGTCGGTGTGGAAGTGGAAGAGGGGAGGCGGTCAGGCATACTCCATAAAGACCCAGAGGTCAAGAGACGCACTGCACATCGAGGACATGTTTGACGCATCGTGTAACTAGACTGAGTGGGTGAATGATCAGAGAATGATTGCAGCAAAGTGACCTTTTTCAAAATTCACCGCCGGCTTCAAATCTTTGTATCTCCCGGAGCCCCATTCCATACTTCATCAGCCTGATAGTTGACAAACTCCGGCCATCTCGTACCTGATAACCTGCCTCGCCATTTTGTGTTATCAATTTCGAATCTAAATGATGAGTCAGCCATTCAGATATTGAGTTTTACGTAAAATACCCATGCCCCGATTGTCCCGATCTGGAATTTCATCCGGTGCCTTGAAAACGTTATGACAAGGGCGTGATTCAGCAATTCAGAAGTTTGTTTCTTTTTTACCTAATTCGGCGATTTCTTCACCTGATCAAGACAAAACAGGTCTCTAACTTTGATTATTTGCTCTGGAAGTCTTTTGCTTTGTTCCCGCCATTGATTCATCTTCCTCTTTATACTCCGGCCCTGGACACCGCCCTCTTTACCGGACTATGTACCCTCCTCTCCCATTCCCCCCTTGTCACCCGTTC